AATGAGGGCTGGAGGGAGAATGGTCTCCGGGGTTATCAATCGTTCCGTGGCCTGAGGAAGGGGCGACAGAGCGTCTGCTCTGGTGTTCTTGTGTCCGGGCCGGTATGTCGATGTCTCCACTCCTCCAGAGCGAGTTTGATGGCGAGAAGCTCGCGGTTCCCGATGTCATAATTTTGCTCCGCCGGGGAAAGCTTGCGGGAGAAGTATGCACAGGGATGGAGGATAGGAGGCTCTCCAGAATGCTGGGAGAGCACCGATCCCACCCCTACTGTGGACGCATCTACTTCCACAACAAACGGTCTCTGAGGATCGGGAAGCACGAGGGTAGGAGTGGTGCAGAAGGCTTCCTTCAGTCCTTCAAAACTTTGGATGGTTGTGGGCGTCCAGGACAGAGACTTGGGCTTATTTCGGAGCATGAACGTGAGGGAGGCTGTGTGCTGACTGAAGTGGTGGATGAAACGACGGTAGAAATTTGAGAATCCTAGAAAGCGTTGGAGTTCCTTAACGGTCTTGGGTTGTGGCCAGTATGAAGGCGGTCTTCCACTCGTCACCATGGCGGATACGAACGAGGATATAGGCGCTTCGCAGATCCAGCTTGGAGAATATACGAGCTCCACGAAGTTCCTCTAGGGTGGCCGGCACCAGTGGAAGGGGATACGGATATTTCACGGTTTGTGAGTTGAGAGTTCGGTAATCAATACAAGGCCGCAAGCCTCCGTCCTTCTTGCCCACAAAGAAGAAACTGGATGCGGCCGGTGAGGTGGAGGGCCGGATGAAGCCTTGCTGGAGAGCCTCCTTAATGTACTCCTCCATCGCTCCTTGCTCCGGGATGAACAACGGGTATACCCTACCCTTAGGGAGTTGAGCTCCAGGCAGCAAATCTATGGTACAGTCCCATGGCCGATGAGGTGGTAGTTTCGTCGCGGCCCGCTTACTGAACACATCCTGAAACGCCCGGTATTCACTGGGAATGCTGGGAGGTTCTGTGGGTTCGGGGCTCTCGATGGAGGTGGCACAGACCGGGAGGAAACCAGGTGACAGAGGGAGAACTTGGGACATACAGTGCTGCCGACAGTACTCACTCCAGTGTATAACTTCGCTGATGGTCCAGTTAATGATGGGTGCATGTTGGGTTAACCAAGGGTGTCCCAGGATGATTTCCGCTGTGGAATTCTCCAGCACCAGAAAAGAGATGAGTTCCTCATGAAGGCACCCAATGCGGAGCGTGATGGTGGGGGAGAATAGCTGAATCTTCCCACGACCCAACGGCTTTCCATGGATGGTGAGGATATTAAGGACATGGGCATATTTCAGCGGTCGTAGTTGAAGTCGTTGGAGTGTGTTACGGGATATGAAGTTCCCTGAAGAACCAGAGTCTACAAGGGCTTGCGCTGAAAGGAATTGGTGAGATGAAATTAATGATACATTCATTCTAGTCAAGGTAGCAATTTGAGGGCTGAGCTGGATAGTACTCACCGAGGGTCGTGAGGGACGAGGGATCTAGCTCACGTGAAGACGGGTTCCTTCTAGGATCGGGCTGAAGAGGATGACACAGAGACTGGTAGGTTTCAGGATGGAGTCCAGGTTAGTGAGTCAGGTAAGGAGTAGCGTAGTGAACTCAAGACCAGACGAAGTGTGACTGCAGTGACTGAGCATTTGAGCTAGTGTTGATGAGGTGGTGACAGGTGCGGCTGATTAGTACTCCGGTGATTGTGAACGGGTGTGTGAGGTGATTGGGCCTGACGAGGCTGGACTATCCCTGACAATGTGGTTAGGATTAGGATTAGGGTTTGTCTTAGCGTTAATTGCATGTAATTATGCATAATTAATTGTTATTATAATAGTAAGTACATGTAACGTGTAACAAGGACACCTTAAAATAAAGTGCTGCCTTTTACTCTTTTTTATTACTTTTTAATCTTCGTTTATTTTTTATTTCCATTTTTAATCATGTTTTTAATAGTTTGTTTACACGTTATTTTGATGGTCTTCTTTAGACATTCTGTTAACTCTAAGTAACTGTGCAACTATATGTCAACTAACTCATGATTAATTTGTAAATGCATTAGAGTATTAGTAGACTGTTAGGTTAAGGTTATTAGAATTACTTGCAAAGTTACTTATAGTCAGTAGAATGTCTGTTGTGGAGCATCAATATAAAGTGTTAGCAGTCTACTAGTCTACGAATGACTTCTAGTTGACATGTAGTTGCACAGTTAACGATAATAACCCTGATGTGTACAGTTTTGAACAGAAATAAATCAAGTGTGTACATTCTGTGTACCAAATTCTGTTAGATTGTGAAATAATTTAATGAACTCCAAATTCATTAGGACAGTGTTAAGAACAAATTAATGCACCTGCGCATGTGTTGTAAACTAGGCATATGTTTTTGTGAGAAGTTCTCTGTGCATATACATACTAATAATCCACACGACTATCAGTCAATGTCTTAACCAAGGCACTGTTTACCTGTTTTCCTTTAAAAGAGCCAATAGAGTAAGTGTTTAATACTTCTTTCAAAGCTGCTGATTTCACAGAAATTACACACTTCACCCAACATATCCATTAATGAGTCTCAGCCCCATTGATAACAGGACAACATATTAATGAAACATTGCCTTGGCAGGTGAAAGTTGACAATCACAGTGACTTCCAAGACATTGCGAGTGTTGTGGCCATCACTCAAACCTACACCACCACAGAGCCTTTCATTGATGCTAAATATGACATCAGGGTCCAGAAGATCGGTTCTGACTACAAAGCGTACATGTAAGTACAGCTGCACCGACACAGCTTACAGTAATAGACCATCTATCTCAAGCTGGTAGACCCTCAAGTCATTCCTGATCCATGAAATGACAATTAATGGGAACTGAGGCTTTCAAGCTTCAAAAAGGATGCAGAGAATGATCACAAAAAAAATCATAATATCTTATCATAATAGCAGTCTATGCATCTTCTGATGTCATACAATAGCAAATTATAATTTTCTGGTGAAGCATTCCTTTGATAAAGATTGGTGAAATCATTGCGCAGGCTGAATATGTGATACAGTATGTGTTGTGATTCACAGGAGAACATCCATCTCTGGCAACTGGAAATCAAACACTGGCTCTGCCATGCTGGAGCAAGTAGCCATGACTGACAGGTGAGTACGACAGATAGACATGCTCTGGATGAACTTGCTGTATTGGTGCAGATGTTATTACTCCACCACTTGTCCGTATATTGTTGAAGCAACATTGTTTGAATGACGGATGTGCTACTAAAATACTGTGCTTTTGGGAAACAGTCATGAATAGCTAATTAATTTCTCCACCAATGCATTATACTATAGTAAGTTATGACAGGGTTGTACAGGAAACACATCCCAGATTGGCTATTACAGAATAAACTATAGAATCGCTTCAGAATTTATTAGTCACGTCAATGTAGAGTTGGAAAAGAAAACTGCACATATGATCAGGATTTTGAAGTAGGCGTTCAACAGGCAGTTCATTTTATAACTCAACGTGAAGCGATCAGAAACCAGGAATTGGGAAAGTGAAAGCTCTTCTGTCCTGCAGGTATAAGCTGTGGGTGGACACCTGTGCGGATGTCTTTGGAGGTCTAGACATCTGTGCTGTTAAAGCCATACATGGAAAGGACGGAAAGGACTATATCACTGAGGTGAGAGCATAGTGACACAAGCACTGATTCAAACCACCTGACCTCTCATGTTATCGCATGTGAGCTGATAGGTGAAGATCAACACCAGACAATGTGTGATTCGTTTATAGTTATGAGAGGAGGCGTTGACCACAGTGACTGAGTATTGTGCCAGGACACAGACCAATGGGTGCATGCCTTCTGAGGTTTTGCAGAAAACACATAATTCCTTGCCAATCCATTGTTAGGAATGTGAGTCAGACATAGCAATAGTTCTTTGGAAGCTCACTTTTTTTGCTCATGCGAGAGAAGAACTCAAGTGTTTACGTTCTAAGGACACTCCTGTAGTTTTTCATTTCCTGCTAATATCCACACGTGCAGGTAATTTTCTTTACACTTGGCATCAAACAACAAACTTGGCCAAAAAATGTGGAAGAGTTCATACAAATTCTGCCAAAAGCAGCCAGTAAACCCAGTCTCATAAGACAGGCGTCACTGGTGTGATGTCAGCTCACCATGATTTGACCACAGTGTGTTTTGTTATAACTAAAAATAAATAGGTTTTGTTGTACTGGCATGACGTTTTAGAACTCCATCCCTGCCTTAAAGCAAAACCATTTTAAACAATATAACACATAACAGCCAGATAGGTTTATAGTCACAAGACTTTTAATTACATTACACTATTAAAAAGCTATTTTTCAGCACCTGAATCCACCTTTTACTCCTAAACCTGTAAACCAAACCACCTCTCAGCAATGACATAAAAGTACAGTCGCAATCTTGTAACAAAATGACTTAAATGTTGCAGTCGGTCACATGAGAGTGTAAGGATGGTTTCCCTACGGTGGTTCAGGCTGTAGGATTGCCGAATGACTAAAGAAACGTTATCAGCACGATGGTATAAAACTGTACATTTCTAGTCTATTACCACCCACTGCCACTTATACCAACGACGGAAATAAGCGCGGACAGGAAAGCAGAAGTCTTTGATAATTTTTGACCTTACAAGAGTCAATGGCATCACTGATGATTCAGGATTCCCACGCGTCCTAGAAAACCTGGAAAACTGACAATCTGACAATCTTGTAGTTGTCCTAAAAAAATTATCATTTTAAAAATGTAATTGTTTTCCTTTAGCCAAGAACGAACAGTTCACCACTGGCCCGAAACAATTAAAGGGTTATTTCACCCAAAAATTAAAATTCTGTCATTAATTACTCGCCCTCACGTCGTTTCAAACCCGTAAGACCTCCGTTCATCTTCGGAACACAAATTAAGATATTATGATGAATTCTGAGAGCTCTCTGACCCTCCCATAGACAGAAATGCAACTGAAATGTTCCCAAGTCCAGAAACGTAGCAAAGACATCGTTAAAATAATCCATGTGACATCTGTGGTTCATCCGCAATTATACGAAGCTACGAGAGTACTTTTTGTGTGCAAAGAAAACAAAATAACGACTTTATTCAACAATTCTTCTCCCCGAGGTACCGTCTTCCGCCATTTTGTAGAGTATCACATATGTACACAACATAATCAGCGTTGTTTACGTTCAGCATGCACGAGCTTTATCCTGAACATAAACAACGCTGATTACTGCCAAAATGACAGAAGACGGTATTATTTATTATTTATTTTAGCCGATCGCTGTTCTGGACTTGCGCACAAACTGTATTACAAGCATTTTCCAAAATGTCATCTGTGTGGAAATATTACAAAGTCTGTAAACAGGCTATTAACAAAGGCAAGAATGCTGAAGATGAACGCAAAGAAGCTCAATGTTAATGATGCTCAAAATATTGGAAGAAAAAACACAATACATTTTATAGCAATTGCTTTTTTTTTATTGCAATACCTTTTAAAGCAATACTTAAAATATTTGAAGGGTACATGCCAATATTACATTGTTTTCTTTAATATTATTATTAGCATTAATAATGAACTGATTCAATTTTTTTTCATATGTGACCCTGGAGCACAAAAGCAGTCATAAGTCGCTGGGGTATATTTGTAGCAATAGCCAACAATACATTGTATGGGTCAAAATTATAGATTTTTATTTTATGCCAAAAATCATTAGGATATTAAGAAAAGATCATGTTCCATGAAGATATTTTGTAAATTTCCTACCGTAAATATATCAAAACTTAATGTTTGATTAGTAATATGCATTGCTAAGAACTTCATTTGAACAACTTTAAAGATGATTTTCTCAATATTTAGATTTTTTTGCACCCTCAGATTCCAGATTTTCAAATAGTTGTATCTCAGCCAAATATTGTCCTATCCTAACAAACCATACATCAATGGAAAGATTATTTATTCAGCTTTCAGATGATGCATAAATCTCAATTTAGAAAAATTGACCCTTATGACTGGTTTTGTGCTCCAGGGTCACATATATGATTTATACAAATAAATATGTCTGCTTAAAAGAATGACGATTGTGAGATACAAGATGTTAAGAATCCATATATAACTACTTGTTTGAAAATAAGACTCAAAGTTATATATAATTCATATTAACAGGTTAATGTTTTCTCTGAGTTTTTAGAGAAATGCTTTACAATTTAACTGGACTGAAATAAAAATGAGATGAAAACACGTACTGAAATTGGTTCTAAAAATTTGTTGTAATGAATAATTAGGAGGCTGATATAATAGTTTTATAGTCATGGCCATAAACTGTATGTTTTTAAAGACTGCTCGAGAGAGGAAGATATTACTTTAGGGCGTGATCCATGTCTTGTATTTCTGCCATAATTAAATTACAAATGTCCTGGAAAATGATCACTGAAGAAGAGTGGGAACCCTGAAGCTGTGTCCTGACGCTTCTTGACACAGCTGTTTTTGACTTTTCCAGTGAGTGTAAAGTGTTTCAGTGAACGAGGAGTTATCACTGATTAACTTAATCAGAATCAGAATCAGAATCAGAATGAGCTTTATTGCCAGGTGTGTTTACACATATGAGGAATTTGTTTTAGTGACAGAAGCTCCACAGTGCAACAGAATGACAGTGACAAGACAAGACACAGATAATAGAAAGAATAATATACAAATATACAAAATAGACAATGTGCAAAATAGCAAAAACACAATATACAAAATAGACAAGTTAGTATGTAAAGTTCTGTTAGGTGCACATTTGAAATGTGTTAAATAAATAAATGTATAATAGTGTTGTGTGTTCCACGTTTATTATTACGTAAATGTGTCTTTTCCACACACAAAGAAACTGTACGGCTTCCAAATGAAATGTATCACTGATGAAACTGTAATCACTGCACACTAATGAATGAAAACTCCTGCTGTCCCGTCTTGTTTCAGTGAGACGGGTGTAGTGATGCTCAGGACTGTTGCACAAGCTGTAGTTTTTGGCGCTTTGGGAGTGGACATTTACAATAATGAGACATTTCTTGATCTCACAAGACAATAACATTTCTCAGAAAAATGCCTCATTTCCAACGCTTTCAGTAAATTAATTTTGATGTGATAAAAAAAGACAATATTTTGAGTTTCCATCATGGAAGGATGTGGTCATGATTGTTTTCTCCCTGTGGCGTGCCACAATGACAAAATCATCTCATTGTCTCCAAAACGGACATCATTCTTCCTTTAGCTTAGAGATATTTGTTTATGGCAAATAATCTCATGTCAGATGATGAACTATCATGTTCAAAGCATTTTTGTTGCTGTTGAAATGTTTTGCTTCATTATAAGAGTCTTAGTATGTTGCTATGGAAACTGTTTTCTATGTGAGCACAGTGAATGAACGCATCCTCATTGAGTGCAGGAGCAGCACATCACACACTACATGGATGGATGGATGGATGGACGGATGGATGGATGGATAGATAGATAGATAGATAGATAGATAGATAGACAGACAGACAGACAGACAGACAGACAGACAGACGAACAGATAGGATAGGATAGGATAGGATAGGATAAGATAGGACAGGACGGATGGATGGACAGACAGACGGATAGATAGATAGATAGATAGATAGATAGATAGATAGATAGATAGATAGATAGATAGACAGACAGACAGACGAACAGATAGGATAGGATAGGATAGGATAGGATAAGATAGGACAGGACGGACGGATGGACAGACAGACGGATAGATAGATAGATAGATAGATAGATAGATAGATAGACAGATAGACAGACAGACAGACAGACAGATTATAAATATAATAGACAGACAGATGGACGGACGGACGGATGGATGGATCTTCCTGTGTTAATGCTGCTGTGTGTTTGGCTGTAGGTGGTGGGCTCGTCGATGCAGCTGATTGGAGATCACCAGCTGGAGGACCGTCAGCTGATCACTGCCATCGTTCTGGCCAAGATGAACCAAGACTCGGGCCGCACAACAGCTCGATCCCCTCAGAGACCTCCAACCACTGTCCAACCTGCACAAGTACGCTCATCACACTCCACTGCTACAGCACTGCAACACCTCAAGAGTCGTGCCAGAAGGATTTCACCTTCAAAATAAACATTCAGTTGTAGTTTTTCTAAGAAAGTATTTGTTTGGTTTATGTCTCGTATCTTTTTAGAAAACTAGTATCACTCTCAGACAGGTTTGCTAAATAGTTTGCCAGGAAAAACCTGCTTAAAGTGTGTTGTTCCACATTATTAAAGTCCGTGTAAAGCAATATTAAAAATGTGTTCTGAGTTTGTCACACCACAGAAAAAGGTGTTATTAACCAACTTTGAATGATAGTTCACAGTCTTTGTAGCATGTTTCAGCAATACATTTCTAAGATTTATAATGTGTTTAGAAACAGTTCTCAGAATTGCCTTTAAACAGGCTTTAAGTGAGTTACAGTTCTCATGCAATATGGGGAGGAAGAACGATCTTACTGAAGATGAGAAACAAAAACAAAAACAACTAATATTTTGCAAAAACTAAATAGAGATTATCGAACTGTCAAAAGATCTGTGAGTGATTTAGAGCACAGAAGAACTTGGTCACATAAAGGCTTATTAAGGAAAGTTTCTGTCAAACAAATTAAAAGGGCAGCTATAAAAAGCCAGCGTTGAGCAGCAAACAGGGTTTTGTCTCTCAATGCAGCACCACTAACCAAAGCTCACAAACAGAAGCCTTTACACTTTCTTCAGAAAACTACTATTTGAATATTTGTTTTACTTGAAAACAAACAAGAAGGTATCCAGCCACACACAGAATCCAATACAGGCTGAAAAAGTGTAGCAAAACATTTTTTATTTCATAAATTTAATCGTGCAAAAAAGTGCAGAGTGCATGTGAATTAAAAACAAGTGGACACCTTGGAGCACTACAATTTTTCTCTAGTTTAAATGTTTGTTTTACTGAAATCCTTCTGATAATTTAGGACAGTATATCCTGAGATTCACTGCACCATTAACACACAAGAACTGTTTGGGGTGACCAGCTAAATAACAAATGCACAGCAAATTGCACAAAACATGTAAAAATATATGCAGTATTTTAACAAACAAAGTATGCTTATAGTATATTCACAGCTCTTTTGGGCTGCACTTGAACATAAAATGTCAATTCTGTCATCATTTACTCGCCCAAACTGTCTTAGTCTGTGCAATAAAAGTTTCAAAACATTGGAGATCAATGACTTCAAATGTATGGGGGGGGGGAGAGAGATCTTTTTTAATGTCTGAGACATCTTCTTTTGAAAATCATACAGGTTTGGATGAGTACATTTTTTTTAGGTGAACTGTCACTTTAAATTTCTCCTAAAAAATCGTTTCTGTGGCTGTTGTTACTCTTTCTGTCTAGTGTCGCCCCCTGGTGTGGGATCAGTGGAAATGCACTAAGACTGAAAACCATTTGAGTGTGTTTGTTTGTGTGTGTCTACAGAGCACTGCCTTAAAAGAAAGCCTGACTGACCCCAGCAAGACCCTCGGCCAGCGGCCCCCTCCACAAGGTTGTTTACAGTACATTCTCGACTGTAACGGAGTTGCAGTCGGACCAAAACAAGTCCAGGCAAAATGATTTCCACTGCCACAATTCCAGATACATGGTTCAGCCCACAATAAATCGAAAGCTCAGTTCACTGCTGCCGGTTGAGGTTAAGATAGTGACAGATGCAGTGGTTTGGAGCGTGTGCTCTTCAGAATCTGCCTTGACTGTGTCGCTCTCCCCTATGAAGTGTTTTTCTGTACTGTTCACTTTTCTGTCCTTGTTTGCTTCTGGTGGCTGCATTCGTTTCCTTTGTTAGTCGTGTGGTATCCAGGGTTGTCGCTGCCAGCTAAAGAATAATTCTAACTGTGCCTAAGCAAAGTCCAGTGCTGTGGTGTCTCATGTGGTCAATATGAAAGATTGTTGACCTTTTGTACTTTAACTTGTTTCAGTAAGGGTAGTTCCTAATCGTCTAGCTGAGATTTGCTTTTGGGTGTGTGCTGTAACATTTGTGTGTGCGTGCTATATGTGTGATGTTTTGTTTTTATTTATATAAATGTAGTGTTTGTGGTTTTGCATGAGTGATGTGCAAGCAAGCTTGCTGTTGTAAGTCCATGTGTTTACATGCTGAATACACAACCACGTGTATTCAATAACTTTCTTCTTTTTTTTTTAAATAAGATTTTAAAGTGTTTTTAGTACTTGCAGCATGGTTTCTAAAGAGGCGTCAGAAGGTAGTTCTTTGGAATTGTTTGAAGCTGTCTTAAACATTTGTTTTCTCAAGGTTACCAAGAAGATTTTCTTTCAGCCTGATGAACTGTAAACAGATAACCACGAGGAGCCATACAACTGAATGGCCATTACATTTCCAACTTAAGCCAGTCAATTTTAGGATCAGGTTTAATGAAGGTTTCAGAATAGGTTCGTTAGATTTAGCAGATGAGTCCTTCCTCCCATGACCTCTTGACTGTCAGCTTATGTTACATATCCTTCTGAGCAATACAAAACCTACTGTAGTGAAATTGTCAAAATGGGTGAATCACAAGAAACGTGTCAAGAAAGTGTCATGTTAATATATCACCCCCAAAATCAAAAGAGTAAATAAACTTATATTTTGCATAATGAAAATAAAGCCTATTTTACAGTTTTTCTCGATTGCTTAAACACATTTCTTGAAACTATGCCTCATATTCTCAAAACAGTAAACACAAATCCATAATGTCTCACCCAATTCCCCAAACATCCTATTTTCAGGTCAAAATGAAGCTCTACACTCAAAACCATTCACTCTTGCTGAAAAACCAAACTTTGGCCTCAGACATCACACACAAGCCCTCAAAAACACATACACTACAACATAGTCTTACACACTGGTGAGATAAATTCAAAACAATACTACAAAAACCAAAAACAAAAAACAGTAATAAGTTATGTTGCTTGTGGTTCTCCCCCTCAAGGAACTTTTCACATAATGAACACGTATACATTTGCACATTTTTTATTCCTTAATGTACTGTACAGTACAATACACCAAACAACAACAAAAAATATTCCGCCCCAGCATCACATCTTTGTTCTGGGTCAGGCCAGAGAATCTCATCCACATCACAGGCTATACTGGCCCTAGCTAGGCAGCGGGGGGGAAATCCTCTTGCATGCCTGATCCACCCCTGGCATCAGCTGAAATGTCTAGTCAGGCTTCTTCCATTCCATCGTCTCTGTGTCCTACAAAAATAGAAGTACTGATTACTGTAACTGTAACATCCTTTTTACAAAATGGAAGCAGACAGAAACTCTATCTGTATGTAAGGCAATTTGATGCATGTGTTGTAACAGAGTACAGCACTCAAAAGTTACAGTAGAGTACACTGAGGTACACCTACCTGTTTTCCTCCCTGAAGGTTCTTATGATCGAGGCGACGGTGAAGCAACTTAAGTTTGGCTGAACTCATTGCCCAGCCTCCCTCATAGTCATACCATGGACAAGGACATGGTCAACTAGTGGCACGAATTTCATCTGAGACTCCTTGTCTCCTTGCCCCTCATCCTCATCCTTCTCCTCTTCCTCTTCCTTCACCTCTTCCTCCACTCCTTACTGCTCTTGCTCATCCTCTTCCTCCTCCTCCTCCTCTCTGGTGTCCTTGACCTTTTCAATCACATCTCTCTGGATCCATTGTTCCAAAACTGAATGAACTGACTTGGGCTCTTTTATCTATCTATTGAAGGTTCTGATTGGTGTGTGATACATTTTGACTCTTAGTGTTTCCACCTGGGTAATTGTTTGCTAATTGAGCTCAAGCTATGCTGACTTGAGTGAACAATATTGAATGCTAGTGCTTTCTAAATGACAACATGGTCTAGGCAATGAGAAATGAAGGGATTTGTGTGTACAGTTTTGCAGTGACAGTTCAACAAATCTGATTCATGTGTCAAAAAGGGGAATAGTGTTTATAGTTTAGGGAAATGGGTGTGCTTTTTGATAAATGGCGTTATGGTTTTGAAATTTTAGTTCAAAAGCCTGGTGATAGTGTTTAAGCAATCGAGAAAAACTGTAAAACCATTGAGGTTTTTTGTATTGCAATTTAGCATTATTTTCATGATGATTAAGGGGGTAAAATGATATCACAGCATATTTGCTGTACTGCCTTTCATTTCTGACCATTTAAATGCAAAACACATTTGTAGTATTACACCAATTAGAATCACCACACGAATAATAGTAAATAAATACCAAAAAACCTCAAAGTAAAATATCTGGATTCATTACAGTAATGAGATTTTTCATTTTGTTAAATGTTTTCTTTATCTTTTGATTTTGTCGTGAAATGTGACCTAAACGTGTTTTTGTGACATTCACCCAAACAAGAAAGCAAATTTTAAGAGATCTCTTAAAATAATCTTATGACTATTTACACACCGATTTGAGTTTTTTCTCTCACAGCCATCACCTGTGTGTCATGAATGCAATGCAATTTCACAGTAGCGAGAGAGGTACCACTTTCTAGCCATTCAGTGGAGTCACTGTTTTTTATGCAAAGACATTCAATTAAATAAGCTAATATAGTGATACAGATTTGGCCTTGACGTTTAATAATGCAATATTTCACAAACAATGAGCTTTTCCAGTTGTAAAGACATGATTCTTAGTGTTCTTGGACAAGACTGAATATGTACAAGAGAGATGTCTGGGGTGTTATCAGAGTAGTGACTGTTCGGTATATTGATGCTTTTAACTGTTTTATCAACATGCAAGATGGTATCTATAATGCTCGAGAGGTATCTATGTTCCGAGTTTAAAATATGTCCTTATATTGCATGGGAAATGTTTACTTAAGTATATTTGCATGCATTACCAAAGAGTGGAAAAATCTGAAATATTTTTTGTGTGAAAAGTATACCTAATGAAATCAATGAATGTACTCATGATTCTTGTGAAGAATCAGATCTCCATCGCTATATGCTGATGTAGCGTCTCATAGTGTGCTCTGACTTTATACCCATTGACTTGGGTTGATTAGGCTTTGCTGATGTCACTGCCTCTTTAAATCCAGTACTTGGGTTTCACCTGTGATTACTGTCTGATATAGATCTAGTCTTTCCCCCTCATGTCCAAAGTAATAAAGCTCCCATTTCCCAGACTTACTGTTCTGTGTTACTGAATTATATTTTTGTTAGACTCATTTCAAATGGAATACCCTTTATGAAAGGCATGAGATTCTTCTGAGTGTCTTTGTAAACTTTCTAAAGGGTCAAGCCCACTGTATGTTCATTTATAGTGAGATAGCAAGAAACATAATCAAGTATTTTTAAACAAACAAGCAGAACCACAAGACACACCTCGCTCACTAGATCATTACGTAATTCTCTCTCATACTCAAGAGAACAAAGAATCTCCCACATTTTACCTGCTCCTGCATGTATCCCAACTGTCCCTTATGTTTTTTATGCACTTTATAAAGAACACTGATTTTGTATAAAACGTATAACAAAGTATATCTGAAACAAGGCAAGGCAAAACATCCCAATTAAGGCCAGGGGTGAACACTAAAAGATATGCAGTCTTTGTTTTAAATAAGGCGCATGCAGCCTCTGGGTCTTGGTTCTTTTGTATGCATGATCTGTTGCTGTGAACCTGCAGCTATTAGTCTTCACATCCACACCTATGATACTGCTGCAAGCTAACTGTCCCATCTGCTTGTTTAGAGTAAAGACTTTTCCTTTTGTTTTGTGGACATGACTATTCTTACCTTGGGAATTACCCTTTGTATGGTTACTTTGGCCAGTCTTGGGGGCGCCTTAATTTTTTTATCATAAATCATGCAAAGTTTCCGGTGCTGGATTTAAAACCTTCTTGCAAGCCTCAACGTGTAAAAATGTTATAATATGATGACTCTCTTTTGTACTAAACCTAGGGGGGGCAGTGAAACCCCAAGACCCACAACCTAAGAGTCAAGAGCCTACACCTGAGCCAGTCCCTGACCAGGAGCCTGTGCCCAAAGCAGGCCCTACCCCAACTCTACCACCCACCATGCAGCAGCCCAAAGCCCAGACTCAAGCCGCACCTGAACCCACTCCAGGGAAGCCAACGGAACTGCCCCCAAAACCCCAACCTCCCAAACCCCTTCCCCCAAAGCCTGTGCCTCCAGTTCGGAGGAACTCCAAGCCTCAGATCCAACCCAAACCCCAGACCCCACCTCCCACCAAGGCCAAACCGAAAGCTCAACTGGGCGATACAGATCAGAATCTTGGGCAAACCCAGACAGATCCAGTCCCTGCTCAAGAGCAATCCCCAGCCAAAGGCCCTGTTAAACCCCCGTCACCAGCTAAACCTCAGCTCCAGCCTAAACCAGTGCTCAGAGAGCAAGTCAAACCTGAAGCCCGAGCACAGACTACTACTACATCTGAAGCCCCTGTTAGAGCAACTGCTTCCCCTGCTCCCACCCCAGCCCCGGCCCAACCTACCCCAGCAAAACCCACCCAATCTCAGCCTCCTGTGGAGGAACAGCCTGCACCCCAGCAGAAGTCAACCCATCCTCTGTTGAAGTAAGCATCTTTTCACTTGGAGATCATTTGCTGCAAGGCGTGTCCATTTGAGCAAGAAACCGTTCTAAGGGCCACTGTCCTGCAGAGTTTAGCCCCAACCCTAATTAAAAACACCTGATCCAACTAATCAATGTCTTCAGACTCGCTAGAACCTTCCACGCAAGAGCTGACTGGAGCTAAACTCTGCAGGACATTGGCCCTCCAAGAGCAGGACAGGACACCACTGCCCTGCATTAGGGTGCTTCTCCTGGAGAAGTGGGATAAATCCCATACATGCATGCTATACAAAATACATACTATATGGTAGTGGTGGTAAACATTAACTTTGACATATAAAGTAGCCAGTATGCCTAAAGCCCAAAGTGTACTTAGTTTTTGTATGCATATGCGTACAGTCGAACACGTAGCCTTTCAAAGTATACTCCATTTGATGTTGTGCGTGAACGCGGGCGGTCGACACATGCGCTCTTAAAAGCTTCATCCATGTGCAGTGTCTGCTCTATTTTCCCCATAATTTATAACTGATAACAAATATTTTTGAACTGTTTTAAACCAAAGCTGGGTTATCCCATAACCTCTTGCTCACAAGTGCTTGTAAATGCAGCCGTCTGTTGTTGTTGTTGTAGTCTCCGCTATTTTGTTGTTGTTGTTCTGTCTCTTTAAATTCGTTCTCTACGGTGAAACAACAGCCTGGGCCAGTGTTGCCACCTTGTGGAACAACTGATTACTGCAAAACAAATTCAATGCGCATGTGCAACCTGCACGTACAAAGTATGCGCGGTTATAACAATCGAGTGGTACGCGTACAGTACATGCATACTATTCTGATGGCGAAATTTGCATCAAGCACACTGTACGCTGTCCCTCGCGTACGCGTAAAAATTGATGTACACTTTCGAAGAAACAGTGCAAATCAGTTCTCTTGCATATCAAAACCTTTGACATGCTATTTTCAGTGTACTACCCTGTTGAAAAAAACAGCATATGTTTTGAAGCATGGCAGCTGGTTTGAGCTGGTCCTTGATTGGTCCTCAGCTGGCCCTGAGCTGGTTATAAGCTGGTTATGAGGTAGTCCTGAGCAGGAGCTAGTTGCTTAGGACCAGCTTAGGACCAGCACATGACCAGCTTAAACCGGCTCAAACAAGCTATCATGCTTCAAAACATACCCAAACGGCATATGCTGGGGTTTTTTTCAGCAGGGTATGTTTTGGGACCCGCTAATCATAATGTAGCATAGTATACTGAATAGGACGGACAGTATGTGAGTTGGAACGCAGTCCTACCTTCCTGCAGGGATCAGCTCTGCTCCACCAAACCTGCTTGTGCTTTTCCATTGAAATCGAATCCTGTGATTGGCCTGGTTCAGAGCTGCAAACTCTGCAAGAAGGTACATCTCCATGATTGGGACTGAGTTCCTCTGCCTTCAACACCTTACTCTCGTGTTCATTGCACGACTACCCAAACAAAGGCGTAACTTCACAGACGATCTAAATTTGCCTTTTGCTTTTCCCACTGTTTTGCAGCAAATCCCAGTCCTTGACCAACGCCTTCAACGCCTTTGGCGAGACTTTCCGCTCCAGCAACGAGGATGAAGCTAAGGCGGAGACCATTCGAAACTTGCGAAAGTCTTTTGCAAGCCTGTTCTCTGACTAATGACAAAACCCCGCAGCCGAAAGGTGGCCAGGCACTCGAGTGACAGATATGCATCCTGGTCTGAGGTTAATTCCATGTAGCTGTGTACATTTAACCCCTCCTCCCAACTCTGCTGTAATTATCCGAGTGAAGGTTAGAGTGATGTACAGTGATTGTTCTCGCGAGATGTTGGTGTTTCCGTATTTTGAGTCGCTCTGCTCCGAAACACTGGGATTTATATGAGGAGGGAATGGCTCTTAAGCAATCAGTTACAGGAGGCTGGAGTATGCTGAATTCGTCTATAGCCCCTCGATGTTGTAGCTGTATCATGGTAGTGTGTTTTCTTTACCCAGAGACAAATATTTGTGACTAGTTTCCCTTGTTTATCCCCTGTAGTGTGTGTGTGTGTGTGTGTGTAACTACTTGATGTGTTGTAAGCATTAGCCAGTGAGACATTAGTTCAACAATACCTCGGAATCTTTATAAAAGCCCTTTCCTCTTCAAGTTTCCTACAATAATCAATGCTTGGACTGGTCTGTTTCAGTGCAGTGGTGGGATTTCAGTGGAACGCCTGGTGTTTTAGCGACATATCAACCTGTCAAGATATTCATGAGTGCCATGTTTATATTATCTCTGCATATTGTATTGTACTGTATGTTTAACATCTCAGGAGTTTAATTTGAATACATGTTTATTCCGGCGTCACACTGTTCATGTTGTGTTTTCGTTTTGCACAGTATTATTGCTTTGCATGACCCGGTGATAATTGTTTTCTCTGTACAAGTGTCAATAAACACGTGGCGCATCATTCCACTGACATACCAGCGTGCTCTGTGCTCTGTTTGCCGTCTGCCCATTATATGTACATTCAGCTGAAGCATCAAGTGGCCACACTTACTGTTGTGCATGTATTTGTAACCTTTTTGCAGTATTTGTTTGTTTCTTCACATTTTAAGAACCAGAGGACCCAATCAGTAAGTGCAAACAACAATACCCTGGCCATTCGGTTTTCAAAAGGTTATTGTGCTTTGGGGAAAAAAAATCATGATGTATTTTTCATGTACTTTGTGGCAAATAAAGCTTTAATCTCATCTGAGCGATGGTAAAAGTGAGCTATTCATAATATGTTTTGCCAGAAGGTGGCAGTAGATGACTAATGTTTTTGCTAACTGTTTATGGTTAAATGGTTAATGGTCAGCCTATGCCATCATAGCCCATCCAGAAAACCAAACTAACACTATTATACAAAATATGAGTTGGGGGGGGGGGGGGGG